AAACCTGCTCCAGTAGGACGCTATTCATGTGCAGCATGTGCTCAGCTGGGATAACGTCAGGACTTTCTGCTGGTGCTTTTTGTACCCGATGAAAATCCTCATAGGGTTTTTGATGCAGGGCAGGGGGTTAATATCAGGTTGCTGCTTTGGGAATGGTTAGTCTGGCTGGCCTGGGGCTGGCCCACGCCGGTGGCACCGCCCAGCGGTGCAGAGTACTACGTCCTACACCACCTGCAGCCCACGTCGGGAGGAAATGCCCAGGCGCTGCACCGTCCGCTCCCCACACCAAGCGGACCACAGCACATGGCTAGACCCTCGGCTGCCCGCTCGTAAAAGGAGCGGTGAGGGGCAAGTGGGAGCCTGCCTGTGTGGTGGGGAGGGGGAAACCCGAAGCAGGAGAGCCTGAAACGACTCTTCCAGCACAAGTAAGAAGGTCAGCTCAGACCGAAAACTACAGCCCCTCGGGCCTGCCTCTCCCTGTAGCAGCTTCTAGCTGTGCTGATCCAGGCTGCAAATGCCACCACTCTCCTGCCCCGCAAAAGCCGGCCCTGCCCCTCTGCCTCGTGCCCAGCTTGCCCCACCACCCTCCGAAGCAGGAGAGCCTGAAACGACTCTTCCAGCACAAGTAAGAAGGTCAGCTCAGACCGAAAACTACAGCCCCTCGGGCCTGCCTCTCCCTGTAGCAGCTTCTAGCTGTGCTGATCCAGGCTGCAAATGCCACCACTCTCCTGCCCCGCAAAAGCCGGCCCTGCCCCTCTGCCTCGTGCCCAGCTTGCCCCACCACCCTCCAAAGACGTGAGCTGGCGAAACCGAAACCGGCGTCTGGTTTCCCCAGCTGCCTGTGCAGCAGCGGGGCTGCCCCATGGCCGGGCACGGGCAGGGCCAGGGTGTTCGCCAGCGGTGCCCCCCCTCCGCCGGTCACCGTGTAAAACTGGAAGCAGAACCCAGCGGCTCTTGGGCTGCTCCTTTCATGCGCTGGCGTGACCTGCACAACCCAGCCCCTGGTGATCGCCCGCATCTCTCAGTGCCTTCAAAGCGGCTCTTGATTGATGTGTTTCCCTGACTCACAAGCTTCAAGAGGCTTTGAAGACACTGGGCCAGGCTCTGATCTCTCTTATGCTGATGCAAATCAGGAGCAATGGTGCTGACAACAGTGCAATAATCCACACTGATGTCAAGCCAGTAAAAATAAGAGCAGAAACAGGGTTTTGGTCTTTCCTCTGCCTTGAAGGGATGTGAGCGGCGCTGTGAGGCAGAGAGCTGCGAACCCTGCAAAGAAAACTCGGCGTAAAGCAAAGGACACGTAACTCTGTAGAGGGCACTTGTCCTTTCCTGCAGCTAAAGAAGGGAAGGGATGTTACACATTTTATTTTTTTTAACAGTTGTTAAGGAAAATAAGACAGAGAGTTCAGTGAGAAATGCGAGCTCTTAGCCAATGGCACCATCACAGCCAGGATTAGGCCTGGGGAAAGCCCCAGCATTGCTGGTTTCAGCCTGGTGGCAGCAAGCTCAGATGTATTCATGCTTCTCGCCTGAGAACTGTACTCAGATGTATTCACACTTCTCTCTCAGACTGGCTGATGGCATGAGAGCTGCGGGCAGCGCCTGGGTAGCGCTGGTTTAGGGGTACGAGGGAGATGGGTTGTCCCAGGGCAAACCAGGCAGCGGGAGGCAAGAGCTGCAAATGTACCCAGCCAGGCAGGACACTGAAAGCTGGGCATTGCCTTTTGTCTGAGTTGCTCCCAGTCTGGGAGTGCAGGCTGGCCCCAGATCCCTGGGGATGTGGGGCAGGACTGCCGCTCCTGCAGGGGCTTGTGCATGGACCAGTCTGTCCTCACACCACGCACAGACACCCACCCGGCAAAGCCCCACGTGCCAGTGAGCTCCCGGGGCTGCCGGGCTCCCAGCCACCACTGGCCCCCCTGTTCACATCCCCCTGTCACCCTCTCCCCCAGGTGTGGTTTCAGAACCGGCGAGCGAAATGGCGCAAGCGGGAGCGGTTCGGCCAGATGCAGCCGGTCCGGACCCACTTCTCCACCGCCTACGAGCTGCCCCTGCTCACCCGTGCTGAGAACTACGCCCAGGTAAGCGCATCACCCCACCCCGGTCCGCCTGTCCCCATGCCTGCCGGACACACTGCCTCTGCTCCTAGTCCCCTCCAGGTGATGCTTCACTTCTCGGGTTCATCCACCTGCCCTCAGGCAAGGCTGCAAGAGGACCGCGGCTGGGCTTGTATTTCCAAACGCTGAAAGGGCCAGGAATTACTCAGCTGGTGTCCTGCCCAGCTCCCTCATGCCCTGGCCCAGTGCAGCCATCTCTAAAGTAGGCTCCAAGCCCAGCGCTGTGTGAGGCAGTGCAGCCACCCTTTGGGCACCGGTCACCCTGCTCAGCACATCGTATGACACTGTCCTGCTCCCACCATGTGCGCTGTTGCCCACTAACTCCCCACTGACTTGGAAAAGGTCCTGAAAGGCTATGAAAACCAGCAGTTCCCAGGATGCTTCCTGTTGCCATGTCTAGGTTTCCATGCCCCTTCTGTAGGAGATGGGACAAAAGTGTTTTTCCCTGGCAGATTCCCACAGCCGTCTCCCAGCGATGGGCTGTGGTACCTGCAGCATGCTCGGTGACATCTGGGGATGCTTTCCAAGGGTCCTGTGGGTTTGTGCTCCAAAGGAAGGGTGGGAGCAGCCTTGTTGGGGTATCTGGGGCTGATCCTGGGGGACTGTCAAGACCATTCCCGCCCTGGCGCAGGACGCAGGTGACACAGCTACCTCCCTCCTTAACCTCCCATCCTGCAAAACCTGTCACCACAGTAGCCTCCTAAGCACTGAGCCAGCCCCCATTTCACAACGCTGCCTTCAGAGGCTGCCAGGACGAACGGGCGTTTCTTAGCTCGAGGGCTAGGCTGTGCCCCCGCAAAGCACTCTCTCCATCCTGCTGATTCCTCTTCCTGCCACCCAGAATTTGCTCGAGGGCACAGTTTTGCAGGAGCGATGCTCTGAACTCGACTTGTCCTCAAAGATCTGCTGGGAGTCCTCCCTGCCTGACGCCCCGGCTGTCAGCTACCTCCCCAGCCAGCACTGCACCAAAGCTCCCCCGCAGCCAAGCCAAGGGCGTCTGACCTCTCTCCTGCTTGGCGTCTCCCCTGAACTGAACAAGAAGCCCTTATGAAACAGCTAAGAGATGCCAAAGCAGCTTTTCAAGCGGAGGACACTCTCAGCTGCCTTTTCAGCACTCCGTTCTCTTGCCTTTGTAACTTACACTGCACCCTCCCTCTGCACTGCCCTCTTCTCCCAGCCCTAGAGATCAAAAAAATGAAAAGCAATTTGCAGGAGGTAGGAGATCAGAGAGGGCCCAAGGGCAAGCGATGCAGCAGAGTGGTGGGATGAAGGGCCCTTTGCTCTCTTGCTTCAGCCAGCTGCTCACCTCCTCCCCGCTTTCATCCTGCATGCCTGTCCCCCCGCCACAGCACACCTACTCCTGCTGGCAAACACTGAGCCCCCCTCTCTTCTTCTGCAATATCATCTAATGAGTGACGCCGCAGGAGCCCAGATGGCCGCGCGAGGTGGCCCCGCAGGGCTCTGCTCTGCAGCAGGGTGGGAGATGCTTCCTCAATGGGCAGTGAGCCCTGCTGGGGAGTGGGGCAGGGAAACTGCCTGTGCTGCAGCTGCGGGCAACTCCGCTCCCACAGGCACATCTGTCTGGTGCAAAAAGGCTCTTGCCCAGGTACAGACACCCTGAGCTGGGGCAGGAGGATGGACTGGTGATCTCGCAGCGTCCCTTTCTGCCTGTTCCCTCTAGAGCGGGTAGATCCACAGAAACACTGTAGGTGACACCAGGTTTCCTGTGCTGAGAGCTACAGAAAGTGCTCATGGTAAAAAAAAAAAAAAAAAAAAAAAAGGAGACATAGCTGGGGGTGAGGGGAACAGACAAGCAGAAAGACAACATGGCAGAGCAGGAGCACAGTCCCGCTCCCCTGTGAATTAGTCTCCAGCACTCCCTGCCCCTGCTAGGGCTGGCATATGGATTGTGGAGGGTACCT